CCCCCCCCCCCCCCCCCCCCCCACACACACACACACACACGTCCACCTCCCACCATCCATCAAACGGCAGCAGCTTTTCCACGCGTCACAACTCTGAACTCTGTCCTCACACCCACTACTGATACTACTAATAGCATCATCACAGATCCATTGTTTTGTTTTTCTGCAGCATAAACACAAACACACACACACACACACACACGGATACACGGGCGCGCACGTATGCACGCACGCACAGGCCCTCTCTGGTACTACAGATGGATGCCACCACTCTCTCTGGATCGCTGCCAGCCCCGGCTCCAGAACAGCTTGCCTGGCACGGCGCTCATGCCTGTGCGGACTGGAGACAGTGTGTGTGTGTGTGTGTCTGTGTGTGTGTGTCGTTGTGTGTGTGTGTGTGTGCCTGCAGAAACAGTAACGACACAGACCAGCGCAGATGGGGTGGCCAAATTCGCCACTCCCGGCCCTCCTCCGTACACCCAAGAACACAAACACGCACACACAAGCGCTCACACATATGCTCCAGAATTGAGACACACACACACACCTATTCTTGTCTTTAGTATTTAGTAAGGGCGCAGAACAAGGCCTTCCTTTCCGGGGACCCACCTTTCCGAGGGGTTTAGAGCCCTGAAAAAAATCAGGCAGCATCCCGTTGTGGGCGTGAACAGATACACACACGGGGGGGGGGTGGTTGGGGGGACGTGCACACTTCCAGCACCGTGCTGTTGCTAACGTTTCCCTAGCACACCGAGGCATCTCGGGTTAGTTTACACTGCGTGGGAAATTGAAATTCCACCAACCAGAGCCTGCCCCACGCATGCCTGTGCACCCGCCATGCAGACGAGTGCACCAACGTCACACGGCCGTGCACGTTGCCGCTTGTTGACTCCACGCAGAGAGGGAAAACATCAAGCCGTTCGCATTTGGAAAGCCTCCAGAGCTGGAACGCCGCCAGCGGAGGCCTATAGATCCGCGCCGTCTTAACCGAGTGTTAAGACACATCGCGGTTTGGTTATTTGACAGTGAAATTAAGACATGAAAGCTCTTGCCGGAACAATAGGAAGCAATCAAATTAATTACAAAGCAGCTGTGTACAACTGAAAGCATTTAAAACGTGTAAGATGTGACGTGAATTCTTGTGACAGGCAATTTAGTGACGCTTTGTGCCTTAAGTGTGCTCCTTTTTCGAGCGGACGCATCTGTTCAATGGCTCTGTGATGATTATTATTTTTTTTTTTAAGCAGACAGTTTCATCTTTACACAAGGTCAGAGGGAGCTCGCAAACAGAGAAAGTTTACCGGCGGAGTAAGTAAGTCGGCAGCTAGACAGTCAGTCAATGAGCTCGGGAGGCTGGCAGCAGGTATTCTCGCCCCGGCGCACAGGGGGAAACATGGCGGCTGGCGGTGCCAACTGTGAAGCGGTTGCCGTGCCAACTCCACCAGCCTGGCGGTGTCTGTTTGCCAGCGCCATCTGGGCAGAGCGGGCTCTGCCTCTCCTCAGCTCAGAGGGCACAGACTCACACACACACGCACACACACACACACACACACGCATGGCTGCACGCAAGAAAGCACAAGGGCAGACGCCAACCCCGCGTCCACGTTGCAATCCGCAAATATGCACGCCACGAGCCACGCGCACACACACACACACACACACACACACGCACACACACACGCACACGCACGCACAGCCGGCCACTGACAGCTCGCCATCTGTGCGCCGCCCGACTTCTCCCTCTGCTTCGTTCTCTGCCCTTGTTTTCGCTCTCGTAAACGCTCCGTCCTTTTTTTTTTCCTGGTTCACTCCTACTGTCGCATCACATCTCAGATTCCAGGATTATGTCACCGTCGATTTTGCGACGAGGCTCCACATTTCTTTCTCCATATTGTGGTGAATAGGATTAAAACGTGTTGCTTCCTTTCTTCCTTTTTACATAAACTCCATAAAATTCCCTTTTCCTTCTCTTTCAAATGTGAAGATGAGATGAGTTAAGATGAGTCCTTACTGACACTGACACATCTGTACGCAGTAAATACAGGCTTGATTATTTGCACATGATACAAACCAACCGTAGACGCCTCTCACAGGACCCATAAAAAGCCAGGGAACGGTGAAAAAAGATGAGTGGATGTAGAGCAGTGGGGACAAAAAAAAATCCATCTCAGTTTTATTACAGTGTTCCTCTTCAGGGAACAGTGAATGAAAATGGAAAAAGAGTGAAAGTCAATGTCGAAAAAACGATGAGAGTGCTTTAAATTGATTGTAATACAATGGATAAGAGAGGAGGAATGAAAGGAGGAGTGAAGTAAGAAGGCTGGATGATTGCGGAGCCGTAGAACTCACATCAAAGAAAAGCTAAACAGGTCACTGTCTTTACTGAGGTTTTTCCTTGGGTGAAGCTCTCTCTCATATGTTTTTCATTTAAACCCTCTGATCCGTGATTCGAAAATGAAGGCCAAGGGAGAACGCACAAATAACCTGCTTGCAGCTCACGCTTTCATTTTGCCGGGCAGGCTCGAATGTGCCTCAGGCAACAACATCATTTAATGAACACAGGAAAAAAAAAATCCAGATGTTATTCTGTTTATTTTCATACTTTTAGTATGTACACTATCTAGCGGTTTCACAACTTGGGGTTTGGAAGGTAGCTGGGATATTATTTTCCTCCAAAACTCAGGAGCAGCCATATAATATCCTGAATCACAAATCTTACCTCCCCTCATACGCTCTTCCATATATTTCTTTCCGTCTAATTGACCAACTCTGCCTGCAATAACTGTTTCTCCCATCTTCTTTCCTCTCTTACTCCCTTTCTCCCCTCTGGCAACTGCATCACACCAACCGAAAGATCTATGACTGTATACTTTTCCAATCCTGTTCATATTCTTTCCCTCGACTGCCTCCCTTCTGGTACTCTCTTTATACGACTTCTAACCATTTTCACTTCTCCTCTATCTCTTCTTGCCTCTCTCTCTTTCTCACCCCCTCCAACCCCCCCCCCTCCCCCCCGAAAGACATGCTCAGCAAGAAGTAGCCTCATTACAAACAAGGAAAATCCATTTGGTGCAGCCGTCTGCTGCTTCTGCAACCCCCTCTGAACTATCTAGAGTGGAAATGGCCCATATCTCGCCTCCTCTCTGCTCTCCCTCTTGGATTCCCCCTCTGTCCAATAATTTCTTTCTATTTCTTGTTTTTTTCTGTGTTATCTGTTTCCCGAGCTACTCGCTCCGTCTGTGTTTGTGCACAGCAGGTTCTGATTCGGTATTACCAAACTGAAACGAAGTGCATCCCCGTTCAGGCAGGAAACACTGTAAATATAAGCAAAACATGTTTCCATCTACTCATTTCAGTTTGGTCTTAACATGCTAAAATCAATTCTCCAAGAAAAATCTGACGAAGGAAACAACTAACCTTGTTCAAAAAATCCACAACAGTAATTTAACCCTTTAAAGCCCAATCCGAGAATAAAACAAAACAGAAAATTACTTTATTTTCGTTTGAAGTCTTTATTGGGCCTTTTAACAAAATACGTAAAAAGAAAAAACAGAAATATATTTTTTATCAGGTATATCTGATTGTATACAATAGGATTTTGAGCAAAGTTTTTACCATTAAATTATGCAAAAGCTGTCAGACGCAAAACAATTCAGAAACCGTATGTATCAAATATGATACATTTGGCATTATAGGGTTAAACACAGCTTCCTTATAAGAAAAACAGCCTAATGACACCAGCATATTTGGGCACATTTTTGTTTATGTAATGTCAGGCATGAGGGATAAGTTATTATATATAGCTCAGCTATTTTCACCATTCAACGCTGGATGTTCTGAGATGTGAACAATTCAGTCTGGACCTTCTCTGTAGTTGCTCTGCATACAGTCACAGTGGGAGACTTTCTGCTGGAAATGAACCCTCTCTGGTGGAAATGTCAGGGCTGGGGGAACAGCTATTTAGAGCCCGCCAGAAGCAGCACTCGATTCAGAAATTAGGATGTGGAAATCACAGTGTTTTACGTTAAAAATAGCAGATGTCACTCTTTATTGTGTTGATACGACTCCCGCGTGCAGCCAATATGCTGCGAATGATGCTGAAGGCTGTGTAGCCTCAACAGTCGATGTTTGAGAGGCTTCACCTGGGGCTGAACGCAAAAGCTCGGCTAGAAGCAGCGACTGAATGCCAGGGATGGCTCCACTCTGACCAATCAGAGAGCCAGAACATCTCCACATTTCAGGACTTAGGGTTAGGGTTGGAGATAACCCAATCCTAACTCTACAGCATCCTCATCTCTTTGCCCTGTGTTAGCTAAATAGTCTGCCGTTGTTTTTTTCCCCATACGGCTTTTTCCCATCAGGTTGTCATTCTTAACTCATTGACTGCCAGCCATTTTCAGAACAGAGAGTCCCATACTGCCAGAGTTTTTTGAGCATTTTGACTGATTTTTCAAGAGACACAGAATAGTTTGTGCTATGACTATGTTAACACCGAACACACCAAAAGAAAGAGTAGACTCTCTTCTTTCATCAGGAAAAAAAAATCGGTTTCTACCTTATTCCGTTCTTCCTGGACTTGCGTCTC